GAAAGATAAGCCTTCAGGTGTTTACAAGGAAGGTGCTATGTGCTTACTTTTGAATATTAATATTAGTGTTAAATCCCAATTCCCGACTTTTAGTGTTCGTCAACTGAAAAATAATATTATAAGAAATGACAACCACAGTCCTCGGCCACAGCTCTTGCGGGGTGCGGGCGGGGAGTGTCAGAAGGACGTCCAATAAATACAGATATAATAATATTTTTCAAGAGCCGGGGCCGGAGGTCGCGGGCCCGCGTTATCAGCCGCGCGCCCGCCCGCGCCCCGCAGCCCTCGCACACACAGACACGAGAAAGAAATTAATTATTCTACGTCAGCGTCAGCCATAGCAGACTAGCAGTACACTGAACACGTTACAAATCTTTTTAAATACAGTTCACTTGTCCCACGGTTTTTGACAACACGAGACATTTTCCATTTGTACACACAGATACTTATAAATTAAAAGAAAAAGAATAGCGTCTTTTTGTAATAGAAATAATCAATTTGATTAAAAATCTTGAGTTTGTTTACATAGAAGGTAATTTAGTTTGATTGTAAACTGAGGTCAAAACGTAAACGGCTGAACAGGGGCCGCATGATAAGTCCTCGCGTACTCTTATCCGCTGCTATCGCCGTCCATTAAACATACATGATAGGTATGATAATTGCATTCTTATTTGATCCCCCAGTAGCGCTATTAATTGAACGCTAAACTGGAAAATGTTTAGATGGAAAATAATAAACATTTTCAGTTTCAGCTTTAAAAATATTAGAGCCGATTATTCAAACTCATTTAACAGAACCTCTGCAGTAAATATAAATATCGTATCACATTATAAATGGTTTTCATGTGGACATAAAATAAACATAGTCTTTATCTTGATATAGGACTTCCCATTGGCCGCAGTCGCGGGCGGTCCCGGCCTGTCACAGAAATACCATGTTGTTGCATTTTTCCTGTTTAACTAAAGTAGGTCATAATTGGAATATGTAATTAAAATAAAACACTTTTTAAGTGTTCACGTTCACGTCTAATAATACAACGTTGAAATCATTTTTTCTTTCTAGCCGCAGTTTTATGATCCGTAGTTAAAATAACCAATTGTCAAATTTTGTTACCAATGTTTACACTACTCAAAGAAGGAATAAATTATACAAGAAAATATAAATTTTGAAGGAGAGCAACTGTGCAACTTTAAAACAAACTCTATCTCCTAAACTATGCAAAATTGTAGAACATACGAGTACATGGATGATTTAGATGGCTGGAAATGTATACTCCGACAAACGTTACTTCGACATTACGTTACTCCGACACTACTGGCATATACCTTTGTCTGACTAGTATAGTGTCGAAGTAAAGCCATGTCGATATTCAGTAGTGTCGGAGTAACATAATGTCGAAGTAAAGTTTGTCGGAGTTTATTTAGGTAGCCTATTTAGATACACCCTGGTGTAAGGAATCTATATTTTAGATTTGGACGTCGCTTTTCTGGCCAGCCTGTATACTTATGTAGATTTTCTTTTATAATATGAATGCTGCTGTAGTACTTGCAGCATACCTATATTAGTTTCTTCTCACTTGAGAGATACATGTATTCCTGTACTGAAACTGTAAGTACAGCGGCGCGGGCGCAGAGAGCGCGGGTGCACCGCGTGTCGCAATCCAGCGTTACAATCGATAACAGCGGCGCGTCACGCTCGCTGCGCGCTCTCCGCCCACTCCACAAGCGCATGCAGTACTCTTCCTGAGTCCGCCATAGTTTTAACCGACTTCAAAAAGGAGGAGGTCAAAACTCATAATCGGTCAATCCCAAATACATTATCACCAACAAAATAACTAAGTAGTCATTGACGCCTCCAGCTGATTTTTAAAAAATTAAGTTGTTTAGTTTCTATCTTTTCAGTTCGTTTTCAGCAGTCGGTTTTTTTTTCAGTAATATTTATTAAGCGATGAATTTGAATTTATGATCTTGACTTGAACTAGCCAAACTACTGACTTGAAAACTAGAATGTGGCTGATCTAATATCCTGATACCTAGTCGTTTTGCTAGTGTGATATTGTATCTGGCTGGGCTTGATTACATTCCAATTCTTTATTAGTACTTATGTATGTAGGCTCTATTCAGGGCACTCGTGAATTTAAATTTGAATTCGTACATATTACGTCCTAGATATAGCTTGCCATACCACCACTTCGGGGCATAATGTCGACTGGTGCTGAGAAAAAGTGACAGAAGAAACTTATTTAACATTACATCAACAATTTATCATATAACCGCCTCTGTGGTCTAGTGGTAAGACCACCTGCTTTGGCAGATTTTTCTGTTCGGTTTGGTTGGTGTTAGGGCTTGTTCTGATTCCGCCTGGCTAGCTACCACCATCTTACGTAAGTCTGTCGCCATAACAACAATGTTTATAGCATTATTGTGTTCCGGCAGTTAGAGGTAAGATAGCCAGTTCCTCCGTGGTTGAGGATTTCGGGTGAAGCTCGCTTCCAGCTTCGGCCTGATCGTCACTTACCATCAGGTGAGATACAGGCCAAGGGCTTCCTCGTTGTGGATAAAAAAGGCTCCAACAAGGTTCTAGTTACATCCCGTCTATTCGCCATTAGGACTCCAGCTAGATTCTGTCAATATTCCTGCGGTTATAAACGGGACCCTACCCGAGTTCTCTTAACATTGCATTGCCAGTCTGAATTAAGATCCATTGTGTCGTCGTAAATCTACTCAGTTGACCATGGTAATAGTAGTAGTAGTAGTGGCGTGAACTGGCGTTTGAGGCGGGTCGCTACATTCCCTATGCTATACTAGCTGATTCGCTGCCCGCATCCAGGCTCTTCCCGCGACTTTACCAGATCGTCGGTACACCTAGTAGGAGTCATGCTATGTTACTAGCCCATGCTACGTCTTCCAGCCCGTGGTCGCCACTCGAAAACTTTTCTGCCCCAACGTCTCTACGAGCTATGTGCCCCGCCCACTGCCACTTGATTTTAGCAATTCTGCGAGCTATGTCGGTCACTTTGGTTCTCCTGCGGATCTCCTCGTTTCTGATTCGATCACGCAGGGAAACTCCGAGCATAGCCCGCTCCATCGCCCTTTGGGTGACCTTGAGCATTCTTATGAGGCCTATAGTTAGCGACCACGTTTCAGATCCATATACCATCACTGGCAACACACACTGGTCAAAGACTTTTGTCTTGAGACACTGCGGCATTTCGGACTCACGAGTATATCGCCAAGCTTCCCGAACGCTGCCCATCCGAGTTGGATTTGATGGCCTCAGTAAAGCTTCTCAACAAGTGGATCTCAGAATGAACATGGACAAGACAAAAATCATGTCTAATGTCCGTGTTACACCCACTCCTCTGAAGGTTGGAGACTCTACACACTCGAAGTTGTTGACAATTATGTATACCTGGGACGAACAGTCCAGTTAGGTAGGTCCAACTTCGAGAAAGAGGTCAAATTAATGTACCCAATCAAAAAATATTTTTAACCCCCGAAGCAAAAAGAGAGGGGTGTTATACCACAGTCCATTTCGTCTTTATCAGTATAGAGTTCAGGCTTGTCTTCACTAAACCCATCGGCAGGCACGACGGGCCCTTTATAATTGAGTAGCAAATGTTAATGTCAAGTAATATTGTGAAATGGTTGTGATGCTCCATTCTGGTGGCGGCGGGGCGCGCGGGGGGGCGGGGGGCCGGGGTCAGCGCGGGCGCCGCTTATCGCGAGCCCGCGCCCGCGCCCCGCCCGCGCCCCGCCCGCTCCTCTCGCTCGCAATAAAATGTGTAGCACATACGACTTGGGTATTTCAGCTTCGGATCTCAGCTAGAGCGCAAAGATGTTATTTTAAATTGTTTTAGACAATGTAGCAAAGGAAATTCACCGTCAAGTTCAAGTCTGCATTTATAATCCCATAAATAATTCATTTAATACGATATAAATATTCATGTCCTGTTTGGATTAAATGCTACCAATACTCTTTCAATATTCCAGATAAAATTTAGGATAGACCGTTGTTTTTTTCGATCCAGATACGTTAAAATTGATGTACTTACTTAGATAATGGCACAATAAATCACTGTTTGTTACTCTTTCACGCAAAATCTACTGAACGGATTTTGATGAAACTTTACAGTATTATTGTTTATAACTGTGACAAACTAAATTACGCGGTAAAAGCCGCGGGGAAAAGCTAGTATTAATTATAAAATATAATATTGAAGGACCATTGATAGAGATTCAACAAGAATCCCATTTTAAGATTTGTAACATGCATCCTTGAAGATATTTTCACTGAACGTACACTATCCTACTTACTGATGTTACTTATTATTATTTATTACTTTACTAATATTATAAACGCGAAAGTTTATATGGATGCCTGGACGTTAGTTAGGAGGATGTCATGATGTATTTTCTTACTCTTTCACGCAAAAACTACTGAACGGATTTTATAATATTTTAAACTATTATGTTGCATTTTTTACTATAAAATTATATACTATAAAATTATATAAAACTATAAACGGATTTTGTTGAAACTTTACAGTGTTTTTGTTTGCTTAACAGAACCCAGATTAACATATAGGCTATAATTTATGACACTGAATATCACGCGGATAAAGCCTCTGGCAAAAGCTAGTGTTAAATAAGAATAAACACTAAGCAAAAAGTGACATATGACATGCTCGACGCAATGGAATTCTATTGACAGACTGTTTTCCCTCATTAATGTGTTCTACGCTCATTTGGGTTGGATGGTGACATGGCGTTGTATTGAGTTATCGCCGGATACGCCCCCGCGCATCTCGCGGTCTGCGTTGCTTCGTTAGCATATACCTAATATCGACCATACACGCAGACTACACAACACAACCGATGTGGATCACAAGTACTCATGTATTTATTTCAGTTTTCTGTGTAACTGGGAAATCTAATGCATCATTAATATAGCTAATAGGTATACCATTTCAATTTGATGATGATTTATCATTTACTTACTTAAATTATAACTAACACCGGTATTCTCAAAAGAGTGCTGATCCCATAACAACACGCGCTGAACATGCGTGTCTCAAGTGATTGAGACAAGGTATCACATCACTTCCCAGATTTAGCAGGTTCTAGCGTCGCGTACTATAGTGCCTCGGTCGATGACGGTTCTAGCTCGCGACCGGGTCGCAGGTGCTGAAAGCGGGTCAGCGGGCGGCGGTCAACACTCGCTAACAATAACAAGGAAGCGGCTCCCGCCGCCCGCGCCCGCGGCCGCGCGCCATGCGGGCAGGGCGCGCGGCTGCCTACTGCCGCGAGCTGACTTCGAGCGATTTCGCTTTATCTAATCGCCGGATGATAAAGCCTTTCGACTCCCGCTCGCTAGTATCTCGCGCGCTGGCTGCAGCCGGCGCCCGCGACGCCGCTGCGCTGCTGGCAGCGCCTCCAGCGGCCGCGCCCGCGGGAACCCGAGGCTCCGTCCGCCGTGGACTCGAACCGTTGCGGGATATAAAAACGGAGTGCGAATGTACAGCGATAAGAACCGTTGCCTGAAACTTGTCCAATGTATGAACCACCCTGCGTGCCGTAATCGGCCCTCTGCGACGACCCGAAAGTCGCTTTTTGCTAACGACACCGACGCGATTATGCCCTCTTTACCCGTGCCGCGAGCCATGCTCGCACGCAGGCCGTTAAAACCTATATGCTCCTAATAAACCTAGACTTCGAATCTAACAAAGATCCGCTCTCCAATGCTCATTAACATTGTTTTCCAGGCAAATACCTACTCGAGCGCGATATTTATAATAACACTTCATTCGAGTGGTCATAGGTTAATGCTTTTGTTTGACCCAAAGTAGCGAGACCAGATAACGGACGGTGAAAATAATTTAATAACTTCTTCTCTTCGACATAAGATTTATCAATAGTTATTGTAACATTGTCTTTGCAAGATGTTTTTAAAATTAAAGCATCTACGAGTATGCTTATAAAAAAGTATGTTTATACATTCTTATTATTTTTTACTATACTTACCATTATATGTATAGTTACACTGCGCTAGTACTTAGCAGTCAAAGGCAAAACTGTAAGGTTTTCTTTTTTGTATATTTTTCTTTATTTTTTCCTTAGAATTTGTAGATTTTGGTCTATACAAATAAAGAAATTTAATACTTATAAGTACACCGTGTTGGCGCTGTCGCGTAGAGTGGACATAGTATCATAACTTCTTTAGGAAAAATAAGAAAAAAATATATCTTAATTTTTTTTCTTTCTTTTCCTAAGGTGCTCGAAAACTTACTTAGTTAGTTAAAAAATTCTTAATGGTTTTGGCCTATGTTTCCTAAAGTAGTCATGAACTATTACTTATTCTGTGTCATGAGTCATGACATGACCATGTCCACCCTACGGCGCCGGCTTATCGCTGAATTTTGGGACAGTGTGTACCTATATTATATGGGCTAAATATGTAAAATTACTATTTGGTTTTTCCTGGGGGCGATTTCTTAGGTATATCGTTGTATTAGATTTATTATGACGTCAATTAGGTTTATTAAGATCATAATAAATCTATTTTAATAATTCTGCTTACTCTTTCGTGACCAAAAAGTTACAATAGGAATTGAATTTTATTTATATTTCAATATGTGTACACGATGTAGATTATCGAAAATAAGACCGGGATGTAAAAAAGAAGAATCGTGTCGCGCCCACTTTTACTGGCCTAAGATAAGTAGCATTAGTAGATAACTTATTTTCATAATATTATGTTAAATTCAAATCAACGAATCATATTCGAACTCCTTGTAAAATCAAATAGTACGCCATCGAATTTTATAGTGAAATATTTACTTTTAGAACTATACAGTATAAAAGTAACTTAAATCAGATACCTATAAGTATTCTGTTCGATGACCAATATTGAAATGAACCAATTAACGACGCGAAAAGTACCTATTATTTAACTATTTATCCAATGATATACTGATTTCAGTTGCATTTATGACCTTGATCTGTTGACAATAATGGTGAATAGTTAAAATATTATGCATAATACAGGGTGGAAACGATATGTGATCTCACTCGATTATTTCATAGATAGATATCCAAAAACTGGTTACTGATCCTGAAAGTCCTACACGAGCTCTATCCAATGGTACTAATTAATAGGTTACAAAATAAACTGGATCTATCCGAAAATTCAATGTTTCCAGCTTCCATGCTTTAGTAAAACCACATAATATCAAAAACTATATAAGATATCCAAAAACTGGTTACTGATCCTGAAAGTGCTTCACGACCACGAGCTTTTTCAAACGGTATAAGTAATAGGTTACAGAATTAACTGGATCTATCCGAAAATTCAATGTTTTCAGCCTGTATCTATGCAATTTATGTATTTCAGTATTTGTAAGCTGTTTGTTTTCTGAATAAATAAAAATAACATACAATTTTAATGACAAAAATGCCCCCATTTGTAGGCCTACCCCTCTCCTATTGGAATGTAATTTTTTTAAATTTATTTTGTATGTGACTACAAAAAACATTATTTATTTCTTATGTGCCCGTCACAAGTAAACTTTTTGACAAAAATTTAAATTCATTATTTTTTTTTAAGTTTTTGGTCATTACTTTTTATTTGTGTTTTTTATGACACATATTATTGGCTTACAAATGCAATTTTTTATTTATCTGTAAGACGGCCACATAAGAAATATAAACAATTTTTATGTAGTCACATAAAAAAATAATTTAAAAAATTAAGCCCCCCCCCCATTCCAAGAGGGGGGTGGGCCCACAGATTGGGGCATTTTTGTCGATAAAATTGACAACAAAACATCGCCTTAAATTATCGCTAGCCCTATCCCAAACACACTGTATAATATAGTAATGTTTGACATAACATTATCGTTTAATAGGTTTTAAAAGTCGGCCGTTTGGTGTAGTGGTTCAGAACGGACTACTATGCCGAGAGGTCCCGGGTTCGATTCCCTTCCTTTTAATTTCTGTGACGGGTCTGGGTGTTTTCTATGTATGCAGAGCGGAAACGATAAGTGATCTCATTCGATTATTTCTAAACTATACAAGATATCGAAAAACTGATTACTAATCCTGAAAGTATTTCACAAGCTCTATCCAACAGTACCAATATTATTTATTTAATTATTTAACAAATGTGTTACAAAAATTAACTTATCTACTAGACTTATGTATTATTTATGTGGTAACACTACGTAATCCACATATTGATAATGAAACCATGTAATACATTAGGTTACAGAATTAACTGGATCTATCCGAAAATTTAATGTTTTCAGCCTTCATATGCCAGCCAAACAATAGAAGTATTATTTTTTTTTATTAAATAATAAACACCTAAAATGAATTCGTAAATTGCATTCTTATTTAAAATTATTCTTGGAAAACATTGGTTTTAGGCTTTACTTGCTATAATATTAACAAGACATGAGTGCCATGACTGTGGCTGTACTAAGTAAGGAAGCTGGAAACATTGAATTTACGAATGTTTCCAGTTTATTTTGTAACTTATTATTGGTACTGTTGGATAGAGCTCATGAAGCACTTTCAGGATCAGTAACCAGTTTTTGAATATCTTGTATAGTTTTTAATATTATGTGGTTTTACTAAATGTATGAAAGCTGGAAACATTGAATTTTCGGATAGATCCAGTTTATTCTGTAACGTATTATTAGTACCGTTTGAAAGAGCTTGTGAAGCACTTAGAACCAGTAATCACTAATCAGATTTTCGATATCTTGTATAGTTTAGAAATAATCAAGTGAGATCACTTAACGTTTCCACCCTGTATATTTACAAAAAAAAAGTATTAAAGTATGTTTATATCCGTTGTCTAGTACCCATAGTACAAGCTTTGCTTAGTTTGGGAATAGAGGCGCAGTGTAAAATGTCCAAGGAATTAAAAAAACAAAAAATATCTTTTTTAATTCGTAACATATGGTTAGGTTTTTACCAGTTTTTACAATGTTTTTCAAATCACACAGTTTACACACCTTTTCGGAATGATAATGCTTCATGCTTTTATTAAAACAGTTCTAAAACACAATGATTCCATATTGCTGATATAGGTTTTTAAAAGCAGTCACAGTTAACATAGATACTATACACTGAGCCGATGAATGGTTGATGCATGCTTCTAATGAGCTGATATCTTCCCCGCCACCACGTGTCCAGCCGAGATTAAAATGAAAATATTAGTTTGTTTATAGCGCGAATAGCACGTAGTGTATGAACCAGCACTAGCTGGTAAAAAAAACTTAATCAATCAAGCAAAGTATTTGAATTATGTACTAACATAATTCAAATACTTTGCTTGATTGATTAAGTTTTTTTTAATTAGAAGTGATTTTGGTATGGCATACCTAGATATTAGATAAGTAACAATTTTTAATTAATTTACACCAAATATAAGATACATGAGTAATCTAGATTAAATTATTATTATCAGTAATAGTGTTTCAAACAACCAAAATAGGTTTGTTAAAATTGTAGTTCATAAGTTTAACAATACTTTTAAGTATGTTTTGGTCGATAACAGGGAGGATTGATTACATAATTTATTTGTACTTATTAGATAAATTAAGTAAATAGGTACATAAATCTCTTGGTACATTTTGTTGTTCAATTAGGAACAGTCGTTAGATTGTATTCGTTACAAATTAGTAGTAAAAGTAAAGTAATACATTTTAGGAAAATTAACAAGTCTCATAGGTGTTCATTTATAACGGCAATATATTTAAGTGATATTAGGTAATAAAAAAGTTAAATGTAATCGTGAGTATCAAACATAACCTAGTAAAGTCACAACAAAACATGGACTCACCGAAGTGGTATTCGCTCTTTGGGGTAGCCATGGTGACCTCCATGGTGTGTTCGCGGCGCAGCTCAGGCGCGGGCGCGGCGCGATCAGTGCGGCCGTGCGCGGGGGTCCGGCAGCATCACTGCGGCGGCGCGCGCGCACCGCCTGCCGCCCCCACCCCGCGCTGACGCAACACCGCGCCGCGCCTGACCCGGACCCGCCGGCACCCGCCAGCACCTCCACGACACTCGGTGCCTAAACCATCTACCCGGTGAAGTGTGAACCCTTGGACCCGATGTAAAATGCAAGGTTTGCAGGGAAAGGACACTACGCTACCGCACCGTCACGTTAAACGCGCGTTGTCGTTTTCAGGCTGTAGCTGAAAATCAGTGGTTTGCTACTCGTACAAGTACACCAATAACTTTGCAGTCTTGTGT